TGCTTCCTCATGAAGAAGGTAGACAACCCAACTTCTTTTGCTTCCTCCTAAAGCAAGAAGAGAACCTCGATCATTTATTGAAGTAAACCTCTCTCGAACCTCCAAGGAACCAGGGATGACAACCAGAGAAGATGACACAGATCCTTGCTTGAAGCAATATTTGTGAAACCCCTCATAAACTCTCCCTCATAAGATCCTCTCTCTCTCTCTCTCTCTCTCTTATTCTCCTTCTCCTCATAGCTCTCTCATAGGTCAGGACAGTAGCAAAAGATCTGCTCTTGAGAAAATAAGAGATCTTATATAAGAAGGCTTCAAATTTGCCCTAATTTGCAACTAATTATCAAATATTATACAGGCTGATTGCCCGGTCATCCTGTATGACCAATTCAAATTTAGCTTTAATCAGCCAGGATGATTTGGGAAAGTTTGGATGATAAGAAGGTTTCTTTATTCAAATTGTTTAGGATGACTATCGTTCTGTATGATTAGTTCAACTCAACAAATATAATCCAGACCATCACCCTAGATGGATGTCTGGATAATTAAAAAGTAACTTGATCATCCTGGATAATTCACAATTATTCAGGCAGATTAGTATGAAATATTATATTTCATCCAGAACATTGCCCTAGATGGATGTCTAGATGATGAAAAATAATTAGATCATCCGGACCCATCTCTCGATTATCCTGGATGATTAGTACAAAAAATCACATATCAGTCAGAATATCACCCTAGATGGAGCCAGGCAGATTATGGATCGTCTAGGTAGAACTAAGGTTTGTTTAATTGATCATCCTGAATAATCTTGTGATTAGCCAAGAAGGTATGATCGAGCAATCAAATCTTAATTACTTTTCTTAATTACCAAATTAATTTAGGCATAATTATAGTGCATCGTCTAGGACGATGTCCAAAAATAAAATATGCCTAAAAGGTTGTGGTGGCTGATTCTTTCTGATTTGATCCCATTGTCCCGTACGATGATAATCCCATCATCCCATACGATGATAATATCATCCAGGATGATTTGCTTAATTGCGGCTTCCTTAACCAGGATGCCCTAATTAGAGTTTCTATTTTTAAGTGATCGTCCATGATAATTTTTTATCATTTCGGATGATGTGATCGAAATCAGAAACTCTAAAACAATCAAAAATTTTTTCCCCAAGTGTGTGTGTATGCAAGGTTACTTAGCATCAGAACCCACATTGTTATAATAGACTCAAGAAAAGGTAAAAGACACTTGATGTATATTACAAGCTAGTTTGATTTGCAATTTGATCTTGTGGACCTGAAATGTTAGTAGGAAAGGTAGTCATAAAAAAATAGAAGTATTGAAAATATTTGTTATCATTAAAATTATAATTCCTGAAATCAGATTTACAACACAGAGTACCTACACATTCTTTTTCACCCACCTAGTAAAGGTAGAGAACCAAGCATCCTTTTTCACCCTCCTGGTGAAGGCTAAGAACCATCAAGTCTTTTTCACCCTTTTAGTGAAGGAACAGAAACTTTATCTAGTCTTGAAGATCTCCTCTTAAGATACTCTAAAAAAGTTGAGAAGAACTTAGAATAAGAATAGAGAGATGCTCACTTTGGGCAACCATGTAAATCCCTCATAATTTTCTTTCACTAGATCTCTCACTCTCCAATATCAAATTCTCTCCCAAACATAGTCCCAAAAGTCACTCTCAAGAGAAAATTCAAAGAAAAGAATCATAATATTAGTTTTTAGTTATTATATAGGAAACATTAAAAAAACCATCCAAAACCTAACAAATACAAGTGAAATGACTTCAGATTGTACAGTAAGATCATGGATCATCTGTACGAACAGTTTAAAAAATCCTGGTTCGAACCTGTACAAACCTATTTTCATACACTATTAGTCATCTGGACAAATTAAGATTGTACTGTATGAACAGTTCAAAAATAGTGTGTTCATTTCGTACGATCTAGTACGAACCTTAATTTATACACTATTAGTCATCTGGATGAGTTAAGATTATAATGTATGAACAACTCAAAAATCAATGTGGTCATTTTGTACGGTCTAGTACGAACCTAATTTCGTATACTGTTAGTGGTTTATATGAATTAAGATCGTACTGTGCAAAAGGTTCAAAAGTAAAAGCCATGATTTAATTGATTGCATTCTGGAGGAAAAATAATGACAAATCATACAATATAATATATATATATCGTAGAGTATGATTAGTTTTCAATTTTTAATTTTTAACTCTCCCCTTGTGTGTGTGCACGGTTACCCAATTACAATCACACTCTCTCATTTTAGACTCAAAAAAATAAAAAAAATTACAAAATTTATAACATTAAATCCTATTTTACTCTATCTTAAAGTCTTCAGTAGTCTGGAGTATGATTTCCCTGAAATATTAGTACAAACAAAAACAAATAGAAATATCCAGTGCATGACAGGAGAAATAATAAAATTAATAGAGTAATAATATTTAGCTATCATAAAAAATTATAATCTCAATCTTGATTCCTAAGTTGCAGCAGGTTCTTTTTGGTAAGACTCTAGGTTGAGCATGTTAAACTTCAAAGATGGCCTTGCTTTCGCTTCTTTTTTAAAGAACATGATTATCTACTCTAGTTTTCTTATTTGTAGTCATCAAGGACTGGGATTGTACTCTTCATATTTTTTGTGATCATAAGTGGGGTTAGTAATAGGTTTTTAGTTGAATGGCCTAATTTTTTGCCTTCTACCATATGAAGGTGTACTTTCTCATAGAGCATTTCACTATAGTTCTTTAAGTTCTGCTCAAAACATTTTTGTTAGTCTTTCTTTCATCTTCATAAGATCATGGTGAGTGGTGTATGTGGGATTCATTATTTTTAATAATAGTATGGGTTATGATGTTCTTCAATATGTGACTTTCATCTTATCACTTACATTAATTAATGCTCGTTACTCTTTTAAGAATGTTGTATTTAAATTTGTTCATCGATGATATGTGACCTTACTAATAGGTATCCTCTGGGTATAAGTTGGAAAATTATGTATGACTCAAGTGAGCATAATGAGTGAGGTATCGAGAAATACTAGTTTGCTAGCCAAGCGCCTTGCCTCATGGTGAATGCTTTTCTTGAGGGATGGGATTATTTGAGTAAATTCACCCAATAATGACCTATTAGATACATATAAAGTATCTTCATAACCGTATAAAATGATTATGGACACTTAGAAATTGCTTGATAAACATTCTGTTAAATTCAAAGAATGAGTTAATTATGCCGAGTGGTAGGTAGTTGAACCACCAAAAAAAGACTCCTCGAAGGAAAAGAAGAATAACATACACATTTAAGGCTTTCTTAATATAAAGGAATGGTGTCACTAACTTGAAATATAAGACAGCCCGTTGGGTTGATTCTCCTTAGTAAGACACTTGGTTGGGCATCCTAAACTTCAGAGATGACCTTGTTTCAACTATTCCTCGAGAGAATGTGTTGATATGCTCAAGTTAACATCTTCACAATCATTGAGGATTGGAATTGTACTATTCATCATTGATGTGACTATGTGTGGGGCTAGCATTAGGTTTTGAGGTAAGTAACCTCATTTTAGTCCTACCATGAACTATTGCACTAACGCTGATGAAGGTTCACTTTTTCATTGAGCATTTCTCTATAGTTCTTCAAGTGCATCTTCAATTAAATTTTGTGAGAGTTTCATTCATATCCAATAGGTCATGGTGTGTGCTGTAGTTTGGATTCTTTATGTTAACTAATAGAATAGACTATGATGTTCTTCAATATGTGCCTATCTTCTTATCATTTGCATCAATTCACACTCATTATACTTTCAAGGATGTTGGATTTAAATTTGACCAAGGATGATATCCAACCATACTGATAGGTAACCACTATATACGAGTTAAGAGATTGAGTAGGATTCAAGAGGCATGGTTAAGTGGGGATCGAGAAATGACAGTTTGTTCGCGATGTGTCTTCCCTCATAGCGAGTGCTTCTCTTGAGAGATGGGATCGTTTAGACCAAGTATCTCAATGAGAACATATTAAATGATTATAAAGTAACTACATAAGCATGTACAAGCAAACAATAATGATGGTGTTCTTCTATTTAAAGGTTGATATTTCTCTGCTATGTAATTTATAATCTTCTTGGTGTATGATTTTTTTTTTGGCTGGTCATATGTTCTTCTAAGTGTAAATTTATCTATTCTCTTGTTATTGATAGGATGAACTTGTTATATTGGTGTTTTTTTATTTTGTAGGGGCTTTTGTTCATTTTGAAAATTTCCTTCTGTCGATAATTTTTTTTTCTTTTGAGCTAAGTTGAGTTTGGTTTGTTGGTCTTCGTTTTCCATTTGATCTGTCTTTACTTTTTTATTTTGAACTAAGCTGAGTTTGATTTCTCAATTGGATTATCCAATTGGAGATTCTCATGCTTATCATATCTTAAATGATAAGTTAAACTTTTCAATCTATTTCTAATTATTAAAATACTTAAATATCTTTTGAAGCGGATTTTATATTTAATAAACAAAGAAAGATAATGACTGATAATATTATTATGAATGTAAGAACTTTTAATAGACCTTTCATATGAAAATAATTTAATTAATCTGTTAATTTGTTTTTAAGGATCAAAATAATTTTCAATTATATAAAACTATTATTATAGTTCCTTCAATCCTTAAATATGAAATAAATTAATCATTCTATGAGATTATTTATGCCGTTTCTTAAAAAGTTAAGAAACTAAAATATGACATTTAAATATTCAAATATAATATTAACTATTTATAAAATGTCAATGGAGCATTTTGATTCTAAACTTTTATTATTTTGTCCTCTAAACAAATCGAATAAATAATTTAAAAAATAAACTGTTATATTATATCAAATATTTACAGATATTATAATAATATTCGTTTCAACTTTTCTATAAATTTACTTGTAAAAAAAATAATTTCGAAAATTTTCCATCCTTGGCGCTATAAAAACGCTCGGCGAGTCCCCATCAGACTTGAAGTTCGGCTCCGCTCACCATCTCATCTTCCCTTCCCACAGCGTATCGCCATTCCAGCTCTCGAATCCCGTGATGGACGCTATCAAGGCGGAGAAGGAGATAGCCATGAAGCGATTTCGCCGTCTCCGGCAGATCGGACAGCTCCTACGCTGCATCGAAGCAGCGGCGGCCCTCATCCTCCTCTCCTACTCCTCCATCCACATCCCAGCCGCCGCTCGGAACTCCGGCGAATTCCTCCATCGCGCCGCCGTCATTTTTATCAGCCCCCGCTTCGTCTTCCTCTTAGGCAACGCTATCGTCCTCGTCCTGCTCAAGTCCTGCCACTTCTCACCGGAATCTGCCGCCGCCGGAAGTGGAATCGGCAACATCTGTGGCGAGATTTCGTACTCGCAGCCACCGATTTTAGGAACGGTGGCGGAGGACGGAAAGACGACGTCCTATGAGAATCGTGCTTTCCGGCGAAGCCGATCGGAGAAACACGAGAGGCGTCGTGAGGAGGTGAAGCTCCGCCGAGCGGCGACGGAGTGTCTTCGAAAAGGGCGAAAGGCGCACGATAGAGAAAAGGTTGCGGCGCAGGATAGTGTCGGTTTGAAGGATGAAGTGGACGCGGAGGAGTTTCGGCGCACGGTCGAGGAGTTCATTGCGAGGCAGCAGCGATTTCGAAGGGAGGAGTCGCTCGCCGTCGTGGCTACTTCCGATGGGCCGGAGGATCTGGTTCCTTTATGACTGTAACAGGAAATTAAATTGGCCTTTTAAGATTTTCAATTTTCTTGTACATTTGTATCGCAATAGAGCTCCGCCAGGGAGCTACTTTTTCTTCTTCTTTTTGGGGGAGCGACAGTAAATAAATAAATGTGCAAAAGCTCTGCAGTCACTTATCTTTGTGTTCTATCTAGGGATGATAATCTCGTCTCATAAACCCTTCATGTTTATTTAATTTGCTCTCACTATATATGGAACTTTTATTTGGTCCGGTCATAGGACGTAGCTCTATGTTTGGCCGTCAATAGAATCGCGCCACGCGTTCTCACTATTTACCGCACGCCCCGACAACCTAACCCGGAACGGACCCAGGATGGCTCGGTATTTCTCGATTTTGCTAGGTAATACTCGGTATTGCTAGGTATTGGTCGATTTTGCTCGACAATAACCAATACCGAGCAAATACCGAGCAATACCGAGCAAATACCGAGTCGAGTTTTTTAGAAAAAACGGTACAACTCGGCTAATTGTCGGTATTACTTCGTATTTGGTCTTCACAGAGGCGGTATTTCTCGTTATTGCCAAGAAATACCTAGCAATACTAAGCAAATACCGAGTAATACATCGCAATACACGAACATAGCATTCCCGGGTTCCGGTCCGGGTCAAGTCGTCGGGCCGCGCGGTAAAGAGTAAGAGCACGTGGCGACATATTATTGGCGGCCGAACGTAGCTCTACGTCCGATCAGAGGACGTAATAATTGTTCATATATATGCAATTCTTATTGGTCTATTACTTAAGAGTTTCAGTAAGAGATTTTTTATTGGAAACTTAATTTTCGGAAGCAGCACGGTTGATGCCGTTATTAGGAGAAGCAGCGTTGTTTCATAATAATTTGAGAAGCAGCAACTACGCCATAAAAATTGGCGTATTTAAAGAATGCGTCGTAATAAAAAGCGCATTCTGAAGAGAACGCGTTATCGTGTAGCGTATTCTATATAATGCGCGTAATCGTCGCCAAAATATCTGGCGTAATTCATATAATGCGCCTATATAGTTGGCGCATTCCATTATTTTTTTCTTGGCACATGTCGTTTCCCCGACCATATCCGCAAATTCCGCGCATTCAGTGCGGTGCGGTGGTTGATGGTTTGTTTGGTGGCATTCAGTGCGGTAGAGTGATTGAGGGGGTTGGGGAGATAAGCAGAAATGGCTATAAAAGCCGGGGAGTGCTAGGGAGAAGGCACCGCATTAGCTATTCACTTATTCTCCAGAGAGGAAGAGAAGGTTAGTTCTTTACTTTTTGTTTAATTATGTTTTATCTTTGTTGAATAGTTGGCAGAGTTTATAGTTTATATAATTTTCATGTGTTATGACCGAAAAATGTTGTATTCGTAGTTTGTTAATTATTTTTGTTGTTGAATAATTTTGTGAGCCTTTTTGTATGTTCATTGAAGAACTTCCGTATGCTGAGTTAAATATTTTGTTTATTATTTGAAGTTGGTAATGTATGGTCAGAGACCTTAATTTGGGAGACACGTTTATATATTTTCATCATGGTTTTATTGTTTTTGTTAGATGGATTAGGATATCCACTGGTATGATTGAAGTCAAAAGTCTGAACTCTGTTGCTTGGGACTCCAATATCCACTGGTATGATTGCTTCTGTACCGAAATAGAGATTGAACGGAGTTTCTCCTGTAGGAGTTCTAGCCGTGGTACGGTAAGCCCAGAGGACATTTGGGAGTTCTTCAACCCATTGCCCCCCAGGCTTGCCTAGGCGTGTCTTCAGCCCTTTCAGAATTGTTCGATTTGTAACCTCCGTTTGCCCATTTGCTTGAGGATGGGCGACAACCGTGTGGACGAGTTGAATGTGAAAATCTTTACAGAAAGATGTAAAGATTTTTTCAGTAAATTGAGTTCCATTGTCAGTGATGACCTTTGCTGAAATACCGAAGTGACAAATTATATTCTTCCATAAGAATTGTTTGGCATTTGCTTCAGTAATTTTTGTCGAGGGCTTTGCTTCCACCCATTTCGTGAAGTAATCTACATCCAGGATGATGAATTTTCGTTGTCCTGTGACTATTGGGAAGGGTCCCATTATATCAATTCCCCACTCGGTGAAAGTCAGAGGCTTTGAAGTGATGCAAGTTCCAGAGCTGGAGTATGGGTGAGATTGGAATGCAATTGGCAGTTCATGCACTTTCGTGTAAACTCAAGTTCTTCCTGTTTCATTTTAGGCCAATAGAACCCCTGCCTCATGATTTTATAAGCCAAAGCTCTTCCTCCCAGATGCTCGCCACATACTCCTGAATGAACTTCTCGGAGTGCATAATCAGCTTCTGAAGGTGGGAGACACTTCAGGTATGGCCCGGTGAAAGCGCGCTTATACAACTCGCCACCAATGATGGTAAAATTTGCTGCTCATCTTTGAAGTCTCGTTGCAGCCATGGGTTCTTCAGGCAGTACCCCATCTTGTAAGAAAAACAAAATGGGATTGATCCAAGACTCCTCCCTTATTTCATTGATGGATTGTATGACCCATGGACCCTGGATACTTGGAAAATGGATCTCCTCAACACATTTTCTCTTGTAGATGTCTCCCGTCGTCGATGTTACAAGTTTTGAAAGAGCATCTGCTCTTGCATTTTGCTCTCAGAGAACATGTACAATTTGATATTCTTCTACTCAGGCCAAAAGTAGTTTTACAAATTTGAAATATTGGGCTAGTTAAGGATTGGGGATATCAAATTTTCCTTCCACATGAGAAGTGACTAGTTATGAATCAGTGCGGATTACTAGATTTTGTACCTCACAATCGACTGCTAGTCTTAGTCCAGCGATAAGAGCTTCGTATTCTACCATGTTGTTTGTTGCTTAGAACTTGATTCGTAGCCCATACTCAAGAGTAATCTCCTGCAGGGATATTAACAGAATTTCAATCCCTGTGCCAAAACTTCCAGATGATCCATCAACATACAACGTCCAACACAGCGGAGAAGGCAAAGTACCTGGTTGAATATCGGACACTGGAACGGTGCATTCAACCACAAAATTTGCAAGCACTTGAGATTTGATATCGGGTCTAGGCAAGTAGTGAATGTCAAATTCTCCCAGTTCTACAGACCACTTGACGAGCCTACCCGATGCTTCTGGCTTTTGCAGAATATTTTTCAACGGAAGATTTGTGTAAACCCCAATTGGTGGGCTTGGAAGTAGGGGCGTAGTTTTCAGGCAGAATAGACTAGTGCCAATACTGTCTTATCTACTAAGGGATAACGTCCTTCTATTTCAGATAGGATTTTACTAACATAGTAGATGGGGCGTTGTACAGCATTCTCTTATCGCACCAAAACCGAACTGATGGCTTGGGCCGAAACAGCTATGTATAAATACAACTTTTCTCCGCGCGTTGGTTTAGAAAGTAGCGGCGGGGAAGCCAAATACTTTCGTAGCTGTTCAAAGGCTTCTTGGCATTCGTTCGTCCATTGGAACCCAGAGTTGCAGGCGCCTCTGAGTATTTTAAAGAAAGGCAGATATTTGTCTCCTGAACGTGCCAGAAAATGAGACAATGCTGCAATTCTCCCATTCAGCCTTTGGACTTCCTTGATGTTCTTTGGGGGCACCATATCTCTTAACGCCTTGATCTTTTTGAGATTGGCTTCAATTCCTTTGTGGGTTACCATAAAACCCAGAAATTTTCCAGAATCAACTCCAAAGACGCATTTGTCGGGGTTGAGTTGCATATTGTAACATCTCAACAGACGGAAGCACTGCTCCAAGTCGAAGATATATTGAGATTTTTCGAGACTCTTTACCAACATGTCATCAACGTACACCTCCATGTTACACCCAATAAGGGTTTTGAAAACCTTATTCATGAGGCGTTAGTAAGTTGCTCCAGCATTCTTGAGCCCGAAGGGCATTACCCGATAACAATACAGTCCTCTATCTGCTTGAAATGATGTTGCTTCTTCATCAGTCGAATTCATCTTGATTTGATTGTAACCGGAGTAGGCGTCCATGAAACTCAACATTTGATGCCCATAAGTGGTATCGACTAACTGGTCAATGCGCGAAAGAGAAAAACTATCTTTTGGGTAGGCCTTATTGAGATCAGTATAGTCTATGGACATTCTCCATGCACCACTCCCCTTTCGAACCAAGACGACATTTGCCAGCCAAGTAGAATAATGCACTTCTCGTATGAATCCGGCTTTCTGAAGTGATTCCACCTCTTATTCGATCGCCTGCTGATGATCTGGTGCAAAATTTTGTTTCTTCTGGATGACTGGTTTGTTTGTCGGATTGACCTTAAGGGAATGTACAATTACTTCAGGGTCAATCCCGGGCATATCCGCCGGACTCCATGCAAAAATATCCTAATTTTATTGTAGAAAATCTGTGAATATTTTCTTCTCGTCTTCTGAGAGAAGTGACCCAATTTGCACCGTCTTTAGAGGATGTTCTTCAGAGATAGATACAGTGGTGAGTTCTTCTACTTGAGAGGCTCTCTGAGGTATGTCTTCATTCCGGAGATCAAAATCCTCAATGTTTAGAGTATCAGTCGGGTGTGTTTTGACCTGCTTGAGATAGCAAATTTGTGCTATTTGTTGATCTCCACACATCACACTAACTCTTGTCGGTGTGTGGAACTTCAGCTTGAGGTGAGGGATAGATGTGACAATCCCAAAAATTAATTGGAGTGGCCTCCAAAAGATAGCGTTGTAAGCTAATTCGGACTTTACAACGACAAATTGAACCGATCGAGTGTGTAGATTGCTGGGAGAATTCTCCAAGTATAACTGGGAGACAGGTTATCCCTTCTACTCGTACAGGTCGATTATCAAATCCGTATAAAGGACCTTCCGCTGGTTGAAGCTTCTCTCTGGCGAGACCCAAATTGAGGAAGGTAGAGTAGAACAGGATGTCTACAGAACTACCGTTGTCCATGAGAATTCTCTTAACATTGTAGTATGGGTCACCTATGCCTGCACTGACAATAAGAGGATCTTGGTGAGGGGTTTTCACTCCCTCCAAGTCGGAATCATCAAAGGTGATGGTGTGATCTGCACGAGCTTTCTTTGGAGTTAGAATTTCGTCCACAGCCAAAAAGACTTTATCAGATAACAGAGGGCCTCGAGCTATTGTCTCAATTTCTCCAATTGCTATTTGATTACTTACTGGTGGCCTCTATTATCGATCTTGCCCCTCAGTGGGACGAGTTTCTTCTAGGGCAGGTGGATCCCGAATAAACTGCCGAAGATAACCTTGGCGGATAAGCCTTTCAATTTCCTCCTTCAGTTGTCTACAGGCTTCTGTAGTGTTGCCACGACTGTGATGGAAATGGCAGTATTGGTCCTGATTTCCTGTGTTCGGCTTCAAGGGATGTGGCCACTTTACCGTATCTTGATCTCGAACAGCCATTAACACATTTGCTCGAGACGTATTGAGAGGAGTGTACTCTTTCTCCTATCGAGGTTCTCGTCGTGGCAACGGAGGCCTCAGAGGTAGATTGTTCTTCCCTTGCTTCTTTCGTTGCGAGGAAGAATTATCTGTCCCTGGTGCTCCCTTGCACTTTACGGTAGATTATTCAAACTATTTCCTATGGGCATTTATAGCCTCATCTGCCGAGATTTGAGCTTCTACCCGGTGAATTAAATCGGCGTATGAAGGATTAGTGTCGCGCATAAGTGCCGAATAGAAGGGGCAAGGGCGAAGGCCTCTAAGGAAGACTCATCTAAATAGTTTAGGATATACTCTTGGGATTTGTCGAGCTTTAGTGGAGAATCGTTGAAAATACTCCTTTAAAGATTCTCCTTCATTTTGGCGGATTCCAGAGAGGTGAGAGGAATTCTTAGCAATTCTTTGGTTGGCTACGAATTGCTCAACAAAAGCTTTAGCTAATTTCACAAATGAAGGGATCGTCCCTGACGGAAGTGAGTAGAACCATGTACGAGCCTGTCATTTGAGAGTGGCAGGAAAGACTTGGTAGAGGAGAGCGTCCGAGGCTCGCCGAATGTGCATAATGGTTCTATAGTGGTCGATATGCTCGTACGGGTCGGACGTTCCATCATAAGACTCGATGCTGGGTAGCTTAAATCTAGCCAGAATGGGATGTTGTAGTATGGCCTAAGTTAGAGGTGATGATTCCTGAAAGTCTCTCTATCGGAGAGTTTGTCTCGCATCCCCTTGGGGGAATTCTTCCCTTACCAACCTTTGTAGTTCGTGATGCAGGGCATCGTGAGGGAGCTCCACATCATGTGGTTGAGCAGAGTCTTCAGGGAGATCTGGGAAGATGCAAGGCTGTCGAATTGAGGGTGGAGGATGTGTAGAACTTGATGTATTGCAAGTTCATTATCCTGTCGAGACTGAGGAAATCTTCTAGGTTGAGGGAGATGAACTCCTACTTGAAGATGTTCAAATTGGACATCCTCAACCCGCGGTGGATTCTGAGGGAGGAAAACTTCCTCCTGTTGTGCTAATGCCGGCTGCCGATTCTCTCGCAGGAGTTTAAGGATCTCGTTCAGAGATTCTTCCATTTTCCGGATTCTTTCTTCCAAAGAAAGTCCCGAGGTCCCTTCTCCGGCATTATTGTGCCCCCCAGGATGCAAAGATGCTGACATTGGTCGTCTATGGTTAATAGACGGATTTCTGAACTAACGAGAGTTGGAGCAAGAAGCTCCAACTATACGACTGCTGCGCCTGTTAACCATCGTAGCAATACTTGAAGTAGTGGGATAGCGTTCCCACAGATGACGCCAAATTGTTGCTTGCTAGAAAATACGCGGCGGTAGAGTTTGTAAATTTGCGTCCGAGCAATGCACGCATATTTAACACACAAACAGGAAAATGAAAGAACACCGGGATTTATACGTGGAAAACCCAAAAAGGGAAAAATCCACGGGGCCTCGCCCAGTTGCAAAATTCCACTAGCGTTTTTGTAAATTACAAGAAACTGATTCGAACAAATCGGGACGATCAGATTACAACTTGACGCAAATTTACAAAGTTTTATAGAATCCCGTCGTTTCCTGAAAATCCGGCAGAGTTCCGGCGTATTCAGGCGGCGGGAAGAGCTCCGACGGTGGTCGAGGAGGAGAGGATTCTCCTTTTCTCCTTTTCCTTCTTCTTCTCTTCTTCTTCTTTCTCTTCACTTGAGTCCCCTTTGTGTAGAATGACGGTTCTATTTATAGTTTTTCTGGAGTGGCGTGGCTTGTAAATAGGTGTGAGATCACGGGCGAATAGGGAGTGGTTTGAATGGACGGACGATATTGAATCATTCGATCGTGCACCGTTCGTTGGACATTTGGAAGCCTTAATGATGTTGGAGTTCAGCGATCTTGGACTCGTTGGATTTGTCTCGTCGAACCGCTCGATTCGAATATAAGCTCGTCAAAATCGGAGACCGTTTGGTAACTCAAATTGCGGTTTGAACCCTCAAACAGCACTTCGGGTCCTTGATTCGGACTCATTTGGGCTCGGATTGGGTAGAACTTGGTGTCGTTGGGTTCGTATTTCCGAGACGCTCTGTTTGACTGTAAGCTCGCTGAAATCGGAGTTTGGGTGCTTCCTGATTTAATTTTTGAAGTTTCCAAATTGGGTTTTGCATCGAGATTCGTGCCCAATCAAGATAATTTCATTATAACGTATCAAAAATGAAAAAAAAAAAAAAATTTAAAGATGGTCTGATAAAATTCACCAAAAATAGCTTACCTCATGAGTGACAGTAAAACATAAATAAAAAGTTTAAAATTTTCTAACCCAGAGAAGAGGTCACAGCACACAAAAGGTTGCAGGCGGTAAAAAAAATGTCAATAGAGAGGTAGTGAAATAAAAAATTTATTTCAGCTAATGTTTGCCCGAATTTGGTAGTAATGAGATATTTAAAGCAATTAATTTCATTTAAGAGCCTAAGTTTTTGTATTTTATCATATGGTTTGATTGATATGGTTAGTCAGAATTAATCATCTTTGTCTTCAGTTAATACCAAACAAAATTTAACTTTTTCTTTGAAGGACAAAGATCTCCTTAATTTCTACGCCTAAATCGAATCGGTGAAAAAAGAATTATTTTGCTGTTTAGTAAGACCACTTCTTCAAAATAAAGTCCAGTGATCTTCTGTATTTCCATGAATTTGAGAAGAAATTTTTTTCTTTATTTGCTGTTCTGAAAATTTCATTAAAAACTAGAAAATAGAGCCGGGGCAATCAAACCATGTCAATGGAAGGTGTAACAGTCGGAACTAAAAACAGGATTCTTGTCATATCGGCGTGATGCCCTAGCCGGCATCTCCTAATATATTTAGCTTCATTTTCAGCTCCACGACGGCGAGGAACATCTTGGTCGCGTGCGGGAACGAATAGGAGTAGCAAAATGCGGAACGAGCTGCAGCAGCCAGCTCTGTGTTTCGCATGAGAAAACCATGCCGCCGCCTGCTTTCTTCGCGCTTCCGCTCTTTCGCTTCCAAGTTTTTTCAGCTATTTTGATGTTCCCCTCCTTTTGACCGGCCCTTCGGAGTCTGCTCTGCTTGTTTTGATGGCTTCGTCAGCTTGATCATCTCCATCTCGACCTTCTCTAAACTCAGAAGGGCTTCTAACAGAGAACACCCTTTCCGCAAAATCTTTTTTACTGCATTATATGCTTTCTCCGGAAGACCATATTTCATTCTCTGATGATGAAATCGCGGAGGGTGCCTGTGTATGGAACCAAGCCCTCGTCGGTTATCCTATCGGTAAAAGGTCTTCCTACGGTAAACTTCTCCCAGCGGCAACGAAGCTTTGGAAGCTAAAAGGCAAACTCAATCTTCTCTCCTTATCTGAGGGTTTTTCTGCTTGATTTTGCCTGCCTGGAAGACCTTGAAATGGTCCTTAATGGGGCTCTTTGGTTTATCTATTGCCGGCTCTTTCAATTCAAACGTTGGTCCCTGGATTTTACCCCTGTCAAGGACGATTTCAAGGAGGTTCCTAGTTGAGTTAAGTTCCCAAATCTTCTGCTTTGCTTCTAGTTGGAGAGTTGGATCTCAAAGATTCCTAGCAAAATCAGAATTCCTCTCACCGTCTCATAGCCGGTAGATCTCACCTTACCTTAGCTAGGGTTAGCATACATATATCAACCTCTTCGGTTCTCTCTGATGAAATCCATATCAAGATTAATGGTAATGACGCTTGTTTGCCTGTGATATATGAATGGAAACCCATTCCTTGTGCCTGTTGCGCAGTGCATTGCCACGCTTCCAACAGCACATTCACGCCAAATTAATTCCAAAATTTCAGAGTGCTTGGTGTCGGGGCACGGCAGCGCTCAAGTTTGGAAATTTCAAAATTTTCCTGGTTGTTATCATGGAGTAATTATTGTGTCCGGACACCGAATGCGTTCAGATCAATAAAAAAGCGACATGTCACTTGGGCACTAGGTGAAAGCCGAAGCAGAGCAACGAAGACAAGAAAGAACAAGAAGACGGTGAATAAGGAAGAAAAGAATTTTATTATATTCACTTAACAGAGAGTACAATGCTACTAATATAGAGTTACAGATAGGAAAAAGTAATAGCACCAATAGGGTGAATACACGTGCAAAGTAATAAAAGAAACTAAAATAATAGAAACTAAGTTTTCTGTTTAATACTAGGTACCCTGCTTGATACTGCGCTCGGTACACTCGGTATGCTCGATCTTTTGTCAGGACATAATAATTTTTCTTTACACTTGCTCTAGTATTAGTTATTGTGTTGAATATAAATAGGTTTTTGGTCGAATTTTTTAAAGGCGGGCCATTTGTTTATTATGCAATATAGTGTGAGAGAGTCAGCGGAGAATATAGGGGTGGGATTGTTTAAGGGAAGACGATTCAGTTGAGATATGTCTAGATTTGGTTGAAGATTGTATGGAGTTTAATGACTGTCAAGACTATTTCGGCCCTGATTACAGAAGTTTGGTTGGATGAAGATAGGGATTGTTACGTTGGTTCATGGGTAAATAAATTGAAGCTTAATACCCGTGTAGAGCTTTTCTTGCGGCGTATATGCGGAAATGTTATTCCAACAACATAATTCCTTATGCATAGAAGATTAACATATAGTAATTTATGTCCAAGGGGTTGTGATGAAGTTGAAAACACTGATCATATTACTGCTACTTGTCCAAAGATTATTTATGTTATAAGATTGCTGAATACATGGGGATTCATGTTTTCGGTTTTCTGTTCATTTCAGGAATGCTTGTGGGATTTTGAGAGGATTGCTGTCAGGAATCCATTCATTGTCAAGTTGTATTTGACATTGCTATGATTTTCTTGGAATAATAGAAATAAAGTGAAGCATGATGGTGTGGAGGATAGTGTTGCGGTTATTATTGCTAAAGTTATCAGTTTTGTGGTTGTTGCACATCAGAAGGAAATCATCTCGGATTACTGGGGTGCTAATCATTATTCCCGACTGTGTTCTGACTTTTAGCACCCTCCTTCTCTCGAGTGGTTTAAGATTAACATTGATGCTTCTTTGTGGAGATCTAATAGGGCGGGTGTTGGTGGAGTTGTTAGAGATAATAAAGGGAGATTCTTGTTGGCCTTTGGATTTGGTTATGTTCATTGGGATATTGCACAGTTGGAATTACTCGCTTTCAAATCATTGAAGGATGTTGTACAAGGATGGATGCATAAGGCGGAAGGTATTATTATTGATGGTGACAATCATAATGTGATCAACTTTCTTCACAAAGTGTATAGCGAACCGAAGAAGTTGATTGGAGGACATGAAGATGAAGATTTGCTATTCTTTCAAGAATTCAATAATGTTTATTTCATTTTGTTAGTTGTAGTTGTAATAAATTAGCTGATTATTGTACTAACTTAGGTACTTCTGATTATTGTGCTAACTTAGCTACTTTGTATAATTTCATTTGGGATATTTTTAGTTGGAATAATATTCCTCATTCATTTGTTTCTTTGTTGAAGGAGGAATGTGATAGGTTGACTTTATTTGAATAGTTTGTATCTTGGTATTTTTTCTTTTAATGCAAATTGCATTTATTCTGAAAAAAAAAAATTGTGAGCTAAAAGTATTTGTAATCAAATGTAAAGGCATTTTTGGGTGATATCTTACAAACTACTCTTTTGTATTTTATTTTTATTGTTAAATGAAAATTGTTGTGTATTTTTCAATCTATGGATGCCTAATTTACATATTCTATGCTTGTAATGTGTGAGAAATCATGATTTACTTAAGTAGACTCTATTGCTTGCGATGTTCAATACTATTTTCAATTCTCTCAATCTTAATTTAGTTATTGCATCGGTCGCGCTCTAACTTAAAACCTATTATGTATTATTGCCTTGATGAAGAAATAAATGAATAAATTGGAAAATAAACAAAACACTACCATACATTGATATATGATGGCTCGGATTTTGGATTCTAAGTAGATAAAATTATTGTAGTGAAGTGTAAAATCTTTACTTAAAACTCTTACAAGCTTAACAAAGATTGAAGAATGATTTTGCTCTGATTTACAACACATATTAGAGGAGTCAAACTTTAGCAGCCATACATTTCTTCACTATTATAGGTTCAAAATACCTTCATTTATTGGCATTTTTGTTTCTGCACTTGAAGTAGGAACTTTTGAAAACTCTTTTTCATTTAGATTAGTAATATAAATCTTGTGGTTCAAATAAACAATACTAGAGTAGAACTAGGATAGTACAAGTCTTCGTGGGATCGACACTCAACTCACTTCTTTATTATCTGAACATCATGTGCACATGCATATAAATCGGTCTTGCTTAATTCAGAACTAGCATATTTTTATTGCAAGTAACCTGCTTATCAACTTATACCAAAATTGATTTAAAAAAGGGAATATAAAATGACACCATACACACACACTAATAATGTTTCTGTATTTTCTTTTTGCAAATTTGAGATCTTTTTATTCTTCTTGTCTCTTATTGAATATTACTTTGCCTTATGCATTTTACCTGAAATATTAGTTTAAAAAAATGGCATGCATATTAGATTGAAATGTGGATTAACTAAACTAATATAATGTTTATAATCATCAAAACCTTATTGTACATTAGGCTCATGACATCTAACATGATACATTGTATGACGTCACTATGCTATGTGATTGCAAATTGATGGGGCACCATTGGTAATAAAGATGTTCACACTTGTGCATTTTGTTGTACTTTGTTTAAATATTCATTTCTTTGATTCATTCTTATTCTTTTTCAAATAGGGTACTATTTTGGAAGTTCTCTCTCACCTACTTATGTCACTCAAGTGGGCAATAAAGTTTTTTACTTCATGTTGACTATTACGATGGCTAATTTAAATTGTAAGATTTACCATTTACTTATAGCTCTCATTGAGATTTAGTCATTGGAAATAAATACTTTTAATTTAGTTGAAAAGTCTTTAGTGAGTTGTATATTACATTTTAGTTCCTTCATACGTTATGTAAAGTCTATCTCAAATTTCTTTTCCAGTTTTACAGGTTGAAACACGTATGTAGACCTCGGATTTTAGGGCACAGAAAAAACTATTTAAACATTTCGCGTTTAACTGAGCTAATTTTTTTTTCTCTAGTCCAATCAATAAACTGTGTTTCAATCCCAATGTCATCAACAAGCCTATTGGGTATAGTGTGATCTTCATGTACTAAAATCCAAATGCTATAATCAAGTGATTATAAAAAAGTAGACATACGAGTTTTCTAAAAGTCGAAAAGAATGTTATCAAATAGTAATGGTCTAGTGATCGAATATTCTTCAGGAGCATTTCAGTTTCTAAAAGTAGTCATGATCATTTTTCTAAAAAGTTATCTAAACCTTAATTTTTGAAATAGGCTCTGATACTACTTGAAAATTCATACAGGTTGTTAGACCTAATAGAACTGTCCCAAGGCTAAATAAGAGGAGGGGTTAAGTTAGTAATTTAAAAAATCTCTTAGATTTTAGAAAATCATTTAAAGAAATTTTAGTCAATAATCCTGAAGTATGCGGTTGTTTGTAGATATAAATTTTCACAAAATATTTTTCAACCATAGTAATAATAAAGTGCAAAAAATAAAAATACAATAAAAAGTAAAAGAACAGAAGAATACCAAATTTTATAGTGTTTCGGTCCAACTAGACCTACATCCACTCCTTGGAGACTCTTTATCCAGGTATTACCCTAACCACAAGTGACTCTCCTTTCGCTCACACAGTAAAGAGTGAAGCCCTTACAAAACCTCTCTTCCACCAACCAGTGCGACAAAGAACCATCAATCTTTTTCACCCTCCTAATGAAGGCAAATCGTCATCCTTTTTCACCCTCTTGGTGAAGGTAGAGTTTAGTCATCCTTTTTCACCCTCATGGTGAAGGCAAAGTATCTAATCTACTTTGGAGATAATCTCTTAAGATTCTTCAATGAAGTAGGACAGAGTTTTGAAAAACAACTAAGATACCCTCTCCTTTGAGCAACCTTGTGAATCCTTCACAGTTTCCTCTTGCAAGATCTCTCACACTCCACTCCCAAATTCTCTCCCAAATCACTCTCTTTCTTACACTCAAGTGAAATTCACAACAAATATGTCTTTAAGACAGTTTCTAGGAATCATTATATAGAAAAAAACATAAAAAATGTTGATAAATTGAATTTTCAAAGTAAAAACAAGTTAGATCTTACAATATGATCGTGGATCATCTATATAAACAGTTCAAAAATTATGGGACAATTTGGTACAAATACTATTTCATACACTGTTAGTCGTCTGTATGATTTACATATCGTTGCTACGAACAGTTAAAGTTCATTTGGATGATCTGGTACAAAGCTTATTTTGTACACTGTTAGTCATCTATATGATATAAAGATCATATGTACGAATAATTTAAATTCGCCTAGATGATCTTGTATAAAGCTTATATGTGCACTGTTAGTCATCTGTATAATATTTAGATTGTCTGTACGAACAATTAAAATTCATCTGAATGATCTTATACAAAGCTTATTTTGTACTCTATCAGTCATCTCTATGATATCTAAATCATCTGTACGAACCGTTCAAAAATCATAGGATGATTTGGTATGAAGCTTATTTCTTACACAGTCAGCCGTCTATATGAATTGACATTGTATATTATGAGTCGGGTAAAAAACTTTTCAATTTCAATTTTAACTGTTCCCCTATGTCTGTGCACAGTTAACCAATTACAGCCACACTCACTCGAACTCAAAAAAATAAAAATTACTTACTTCATTATATGAAATCTTATTCTACCGTCTTGAAGTCTTCAGTAGTTTGGAGTATGATTTTCCTAAAATATTAATACACACAAAATAAACAAAAATATATTCAATATATATTAGGAGAAATAGTAATCGTAACAATAATATTTTGTTATCATAAAAAAATCATATTACATATAACTCAATCTTGAATTCTAAGTTGTAATATAAATTGATAGAACTCCAATCAAAATATCCCTTAAAAGCCATTAATTAGGGTTGAGGTCCTTCTGTCGATTGGTAGAGATATGTGCCTAAGTCTTTCTTAGTTATTTCTACGGACTGCCTACAAACATATGACATCATAATGGAAGTAGCAACACCAACTCTTAGATTTGTAAAGCATTCATAGAGGAGTTTATAGTTGATGGGAAAGGCGAAGGTAAGATGGAATTGAAGAGAGGTGGATGCGAAGAGATTCATCTCCTCATAATTCAAGGCTTATTAATTCAGAATTCTTGATGGAGTGATGTGTGCTTTGTTGTATCGATAATATACAATTTTATCTTCTGCAGATTTGAAGTGATTATTGATAGGGTGGTAAGAGGAAGAGCTTCCTTGAGTCAGTCAACCACGCTTGCCTCCTCTGGCTATTTAAGCAATTGAAAGTATGAATCAAGAGGGAAGAAGGACTTGAAATATTGGATGAGTTAAGCTTTAGAATTCCCTCCAATTTATAGAGTTTTAATCTAATCATATAGTATGATTAGAGATCGTACAATATGATCAGATAACTGAAATATTTTGGATGACTTATAAAAAAAAGAGGTCAAATCATATAATACGATATGTATCGTACTGAGTGATCTTATGAAAAGTGTTATTCCTTATGAGCCAATTATATGACTTTGACCAAAAGTTTTGTATAGTAGGAATATGTGTTCATATAGTATGATAGGTCAATTAATATTAGACGGATTGATTTGAATTCATCCAAAGACTTTTGACTCGTGTATTATGTAGAATGAATAGTAATTCATATAGTACAATCACTAATATTTGATTAGATTAGGGTCCTTGATTTCATGGAAGGTTGAGATTTGTGTAGGGATGTGCATATCGTATGGTTCGAGGGAATCATATAGTAGGGTGTAAAAAATTTTAATTTTAAATTTTCTTTTAATTTAAATGGTGTGTGAATATTAGGGAAAATCTATCAAATGCACAACTATTGCGGTACTGTTTTCATGGTTTATGATTTTGATGATATCAAACACTCTTATTTCTCTATGACGACCTTATTTACTAACATTTCACGTCCACACGATCAGACTGCAATTTGGAACCAGCTCAAGATTGGGTAGACTAGGTCTGAGTCAGTTTATTCATTTTTTCCTTTCTTGAGTCTATTGTATTTGGTGTGGCTCCTGATGTTTTGTAACTTGGAAGATTTTCTGTTGCTCTCTAAAGATTTCTATTTTTGGTAACATTGTCCGGGACGATCTGTCCAAAAGCAGAAACCCTAATTAGGGCATCCTCATTAAAGTAGCCGTCATTATGCAAAACACATCGTCTTGAACGATTTTGTATCGGCCAGGACGATAGGTACAATTTAGAAAGAATCTATCGCCAAATCTAATTAGAAATAACCTATTTTTGGACATCGTCCAGGTGGATCGTCTAGGACGATCCAGGTCAATTTTTCAAAATTTCTCTGGAATTTAAGGAAAGCAATTATGACTTGATTTCACGATCAAATTGGCCTGGACGATCGCCAAATCGTCTAGGCCGATGTGCTGGACGATTTGA